TACTTTGCGATAACGTACAGCTATCTGGGTTTGGTTTACAAAGATATGGGAGAGTATGAAAAGGCAAAAGATTTTTATGAACGAGCGATAGAAATTCAAACAACAGCATTTGGACCTAACCATGTTAATATTGCGTTTACGTACAGCTATATGGGTTTGGTTTACAAAGATATGGGAGAGTACGAAAAAGCGAAAGATTTTAATGAACGAGCGATAAAATTGAAACAAAACTTTTAACTTTAACTTTAAAATTGTACAACAACAGTGTGTTTTTGTACAAAGATATTGGAGAGTACGAAAATCGAATATTTTATGAACAAGCGATAGAAATTCAAACAAAAGCATTGGGACATGACCATGTTACTTTGCGATAACGTACAGCTATCTGGGTTTGGTTTACAAAGATATGGGAGTATGAAAAGGCAAAATGTTTTTATGAACAAGCGATAGAAATTCAAAAAGCATTTGGACTTGACCATGTTAGTATTGCGACAACGTACAACAATCTGGGTTTGGTTTACAATATTATGGAGAGTACGAAAAGCAAAAGATTTTTATGAACGAGCGATAGAAATATAAACAAAAGCATTTGGACCTGACCATGCTAATATTGCGTTAAAGTACAACAATCTGGGTTTGGTTTACAAAGATATGGGAGAGTACGAAAAAGCAACAAATTTTTTGAACAAGCGATTGAAAGTCAAACAAAAGCAAGTGGACCTGAACATGTTAATATTGCGATAACGTACAACAATCTAAGTGTGGCTTACTATGATATGGGAGAGTAAGAAAAAGCAAAAGATTTTTATGAACGAGTGATAGAAATTAAAACAAAAGCATTTGGACTTGACCATGTTAGTTTTGCGACAACGTACAATAATGTTGGTTTTGTTTACAAAGTTCTGGGATAGTACGAAAAAGCAAAAGATTTTTATGAACGAATGATAGAAATACAAACAAAAGCAATTGGAGCTGACCATGTTAATACTGCGGCAACGTACAATACCCTGGGTTCGGTTTACAATAATATAGGAGAGTATAAAAAAGCAAAAGATTTTTATGAACGACCGATAGAAATTCGAACAATAGCATTTAAACATGACCATGTTAATATTGCGAAAACGTACAATAATCTGGTTTCGGTTTACAATATGGGATAGTACGGAAAAAAATTTTATAAACGAGCGATAGAATTTGAAACAAAAGCATTTGGACCTGACCATGTTAATATTGCGATAACGTACAGCTATTTGGGTTCGGTTTACAATAATATGATACACTACGAAAAAGCAAAAGATTTTTATGAACGAGCGATGAAAACTGAGACAAAAACATTTGGAACTGACCATGTTAATATTGCGATAACGTACAGCTATCTGGGTTTGGTTTACAAAGATATGGGAGAGCACAAAAAAGCGAAAGATTTTTATGAACGAGCGATGAAAATTGAAACAAAAACTTTTGGACTTTACCTTTTAAATATTGCAACAACGTACAACAATGTGTGTTTTGCTTGCTAAGATATTGGAGAGTACGAAAAAGCAAAAGATTTTTATGAACGATAGACAGAAATTCAAATAAAAGCATTTGGACCTAACCATGTTAATTTTACGAAAACATACAACAATCTGGTTTCGGTTTACAATAATATGGGAGAGTACGAAAAAGCAAAATTTTTATGTACGAGCGATAGAAATTCAAACAAAAGCAATTGGACCTGAGTATGTTAATACTGCGGTAACGTACATTACCCTTGGTTCGGTTTACAATATCATGGGAGGGTATGAAAAAGCAAAAGATTTTTATGAACGAGCGATAGAAATTCAAACAAAACATTTGGACCTGACCATTTTAATACTGCGGCAACGTACAATACCCTGGGTTCGGTTTACGATAATATGGGAGAGTATAAAAAACAAAAGACTTTTATGAACGACCGATAGAAATTCGAACAAAAGCATTTGGACATGACCATGTTAATATTGCAAAACAAACAACTGGTTTCGGTTTACAATAATATGGGATAGTACGGAAAAAATTTTTATAAACGAGCGATAGAATTTCAAACAAAAGCATTTGGACCTGACCATGTTAATATTGCGATAACGTACAGCTATCTGGGTTTTTCCAATAATATGGGACACGAAAAAGCAAAGATTTTATGAACGAGCGATGAAAACTGAAAAACATTTGGACCTGACCATGTTAATATTGCGACAACGTACATCAATCAGGGTTTGGTTTACAGTAACATGGGAGAGTATGAAAAAGCAAAAGATTTTTATGAACGAGCGATAGAAATTCAAACAAAAGCATTTGGACCCGGCCATGTTAATATTGCGATAACGTACAGCTATCTCGGTTTGGTTTACAAAGATATTGGAGAGTACGAAAAAGCGAAAGATTTTAATGAACGAGCGATAAAAATTGAAACAAAAACTTTTGGACCTTACCTTTCAAATATTGCCACAACGTACTACAATCTGGGTTTGGTTTACAATATTATGGGAGAGTACGAAAAAGCAAAAGATTTTTATGAACGAGCGATAGAAATTCAAACAAAAGCATTTGGACCTAACCATGCTAATATTGCGTTAAAGTACAACGAATCTGGGTTTGGTTTACAAAGACATGGGAGAGTACGAAAAAGCAAAAAGTTTTATGAACAAGCGATTGAAAGTCAAACAAAAGCAAGTGGACCTAAACATGTTAATATTGCGATAACGTACAACAATCTAAGTGTGGCTTACTATGATATGGGAGAGTAAGAAAAAGCAAAAGATTTTTATGAACGAGTGATAGAAATTAAAACAAAGGCATTTGGACTTGACCATGTTAGTATTGCGACAACGTACAACAATGTGGGTTTTGTTTACAAAGTTATGGGATAGTACCAAAAAGCAAAAGATTTTTATGAACGAATGATAGAAATACAAACAAAAGCAATTAGAGCTGACCATGTTAATACTGCCGCAACGTACATTACCCTTGATTCAGTTTACAATAACATGGGAGAATACGAAAAACAAAAGATTTTTATGAACGAGCGATAGAAATTCAAACAAAAGCATTTGGACCTGACCATGTTAATACTACGGCAACGTACAATACCCTGGGTTCGGTTTACGATAATATGGGAGAGTATAAAAAAGCAAAAGATTTTTATGAACGACCGATAAAAATTCGAACAAAAGCATTTGGACATGACCATGTTAATATTGCAAAAACTTACAACAATCTGGTTTGGATTTACAATAATATGGGATAGTACGGATAAAAAATTTTTATAAACGAGCGATAGAATTTCAAACAAAAGCATTTGGACCTGACCATGTTAATATTGCGATAACGTACAGCTATCTGGGTTCGGTTTCCAATAATATGGGAAAGTATGAAAAAGCAAAAGATTTTTATGAACGAGCGATGAAAACTGAAACAAAAACTTTTGGACCTTACCTTTTAAATATTGCCACAACGTACAACAATGTCTGTTTTGTGTACAAAGATATTGGAGAGTACGAAAATCAAATATTTTTATGAACAAGCGATAGAAATTCAAACAAAAGCATTGGGACATGACCACGTTACTTTGCGATAACGTACAGCTATCTGGGTTTGGTTTACAAAGATATGGGAGAGTATGAAAAGGCAAAAGGTTTTTATGAACGAGCGATAGAAATTCAAACAAAAGCATTTGGACCTAACCATGTTAATATTGCGAAAACGTACAACAATCTGGGTTTGGTTTACAATATTATGGGAGAGTACGAAAAAGCAAAAGATTTTTATGAACGAGCGATAAAAATACAAACAAAAGCATTTGGACCTGACCATCCTAATATTGCGTTAAAGTATAACAATCTGGGTTTGGTTTACAAAGATATTGGAGAGTACGAAAAAGCTAAAGTTTTATGAACAAGCGATTGAAAGTCAAACAAAAGCAAGTGGACCTGAACATGTTAATATTGCGATAACGTACAACAATCTAAGTGTGGCTTACTATGATATGGGAGAGTAAGAAAAAGCAAAAGATTTTTATGAACGAGCGATAGAAATTAAAACAAAAGCATTTGGACTTGACCATGTTAGTATTGCGACAACGTACAACAATGTGGGTCTTGTTTACAAAGTTATGGGATAGTACGAAAAAGCAAAAGATTTTTATGAACGAATGATAGAAATACAAACAAAAGCAATTGGAGCTGACCATGTTAATACTGCCGCAACGTACATTACCCTTGATTCGGTTTACAATAACATGGGAGATTACGAAAAACAAAAGATTTTTATGAACGAGCGATAGAATTTCAAACAAAAGCATTTGGACCTGACCATGTTCATACTGCGGCAACGTACAGTACCCTGGGTTCGGTTTACAATAATATGGGATTGTAAGAAAAAGCAAAAAATTTTTATGAACGAGCGACAGAAATTCAAACAAAAGCATTTGGACCTAACCATGTTATCATTGCGTTTACGTACAGCTATATGGGTTTGGTTTTCAAAGATATGGGAGAGTACGAAAAAGCGAAAGATTTTTATGAAAGAGCGATGAAAATTTAATAGAAAACAATTGTACCTTACCAAGTTAATATTGTGACAATGTACAACATTGTGGGTTTTGTTTACAAAGTTGTTGGAGAGTACGAAAAAGCAAAATTTTTTTATGAACAAGCGATAGAAATTCAAACAAAAGCATTTGGACATGACCATGTTACTTTGCGATAACGTACAGCTATCTGGGTTTGGTTTACAAAGATATGGGAGAGTATGAAAATTCAAAAGGTTTTTATGAACAAGCGATAGAAATTCAAACAAAAGCATTTGGACTTGACCATGTTAGTATTGCGACAACGTACAACAATCTGGGTTTGGTTTACAATATTATGGGAGAGTACAAAAAAGCAAAAGATTTTTATGAACGAGCGATAGAAATACAAACAAAAGCATTTGGACCTGACCATGCTAATATTGCGTTAAAGTACAACAATCTGGGTTTGGTTTACAAAGATATGGGAGAGTACGAAAAAGCAAAAAGTTTTTTGAACAAGCGATTGAAAGTCAAACAAAAGCAAGTGGACCTAAACATGTTAATATTGCGATAACGTACAACAATCTAAGTGTGGCTTACTATGATATGGGAGAGTAAGAAAAAGAAAAAGATTTTTATGAACGAGCGATAGAAATTAAAACAAAAGCATTTGGACCTGACCATGTTAATACTGCCGCAACGTACATTACCCTTGATTCGGTTTACAATAACATGGGAGAATACGAAAACAAAAGATTTTTATGAACGAGCGATAGAATTTCAAACAAAAGCATTTGGACCTGACCATGTTAATATATCGGCAACGTACAATACCCTGGGTTCGGTTTACGATAATATAGGAGAGTATAAAAAAGCAAAAGATTTTTATGAACGACCGATAGAAATTCGAACAAAAGCATTTGGACATAACCATGTTAATATTGCAAAACGTACAATAATAATTGGTTTACAATAATATGGAATAGTACGGAAAAAAAAATTTATAAACGAGCGATATAATTTCAAACAAAAGCATTTGGACCTGACCATGTTAATATTGCGAAAACGTACAATAATCTGGTTTCGGTTTACAATAATATGGGATGGTACGGAAAAAAAAATTTTAAAAACAAGCGCTAGAATTTCAAACAAAAGCATTTGGATCTGACCATGTTAATATTGCGATAACGTACAGCTATCTGGGTTCGGTTTACAATAATATGATACAGTACGAAAAAGCAAAAGATTTTTTCGAACGAGTGATGAAAACTGAAACAAAAACATTTGGAACTGACCATGTTAATATTGCGATAACGTACACCTATCTGGGTTTGGTTTACAAAGATATGGGAGAGCACAAAAAAGCAAAAGATTTTTATGAACGAGCGATGAAAATTGAAACAAAATTTTTGGACTTTACCTTATAAATTTTGCAACAACGTACAACAATGTGTGTTTTGTTTACAAAGATATTGGAGTGTACGAAAAATCAAATATTTTTATGAACGAGCGATAGAAATTTAAACAAAAGCAATTGGACCAGACCATGTTAAAACTGCGGCAACGTACATTACCCTTGGTTCGGTTTACAATAACATGAGAGAGTACGAAAAAGCAAAAGATTTTTATGAACGAGCGATAGAAATTCAAACAAAAGCATTTGGACCTGACCAAGTTAATACTGCGGCAACGTACAATACCCTGGGTTCGTTTTACGATAATATGGGAGAGTATAAAAAAGCAAAAGATTTTTATGAACGACCGATAAAAATTCGAACAAAAGCATTTAGACATGACCATGTTAATATTGCAAAAACGTACAACAATCTGGGTTTAGTTTACAATAATATGGGGGAGTACGAAAAAGCAAAAGATTTTTATGAACAAGCGATAGATTTTCAAACAAAAGCATTTGGACCTAACCATGTTAATATTGCGTTTACGTACAGCTATATGGGTTTGGTTTACTAAGATATGGGAGAGTACGATAAAGCGAAAAATTTTTATGAACGAGCTATGAAAATTTAAATGAAAACAATTGGACTATACCAATTTATTATTGTGACAATACAACATTGTGGGTTTTGTTTACAAAGTTGTTGAGAGTGCGAAAAGCAAAATTTTTATATGAACAAGCGATAGAAATTCAAACAAAAGCATTTGGACATGACCATGTTACTTTGCGATAACGTACAGCTATCTGGGTTTGGTTTACAAAGATATGGGAGAGTATGAAAAGGCAAAAGATTTTTATGAACGAGCGATAGAAATTCAAACAACAGCATTTGGACCTAACCATGTTAATATTGCGTTTACGTACAGCTATATGGGTTTGGTTTACAAAGATATGGGAGAGTACGAAAAAGCGAAAGATTTTAATGAACGAGCGATAAAAATTGAAACAAAAACTTTTGGACCTTAACTTTTAAATATTGCCACAACGTACAACAGTGTGTTTTGTGTACAAAGATATTGGAGAGTACGAAAAATCGAATATTTTTATGAACAAGCGATAGAAATTCAAACAAAAGCATTGGGACATGACCATGTTACTTTGCGATAACGTACAGCTATCTGGGTTTGGTTTACAAAGATATGGGAAAGTATGAAAAGGCAAAATGTTTTTATGAACAAGCGATAGAAATTCAAAAAAAAGCATTTGGACTTGACCATGTTAGTATTGCGACAACGTACAACAATCTGGGTTTGGTTTACAATATTATGGGAGAGTACGAAAAAGCAAAAGATTTTTATGAACGAGCGATAGAAATATAAACAAAAGCATTTGGACCTGACCATGCTAATATTGCGTTAAAGTACAACAATCTGGGTTTGGTTTACAAAGATATGGGAGAGTACGAAAAAGCAACAAATTTTTTGAACAAGCGATTGAAAGTCAAACAAAAGCAAGTGGACCTGAACATGTTAATATTGCGATAACGTACAACAATCTAAGTGTGGCTTACTATGATATGGGAGAGTAAGAAAAAAGCAAAAGATTTTTATGAACGAGTGATAGAAATTAAAACAAAGGCATTTGGACTTGACCATGTTAGTATTGCGACAACGTACAATAATGTGGGTTTTGTTTACAAAGTTATGGGATAGTACGAAAAAGCAAAAGATTTTTATGAACGAATGATAGAAATACAAACAAAAGCAATTGGAGCTGACCATGTTAATACTGCGGCAACGTACAATACCCTGGGTTCGGTTTACAATAATATAGGAGAGTATAAAAAAGCAAAAGATTTTTATGAACGACCGATAGAAATTCGAACAATAGCATTTAAACATGACCATGTTAATATTGCGAAAACGTACAATAATCTGGTTTCGGTTTACAATAATATGGGATAGTACGGAAAAAAAATTTTATAAACGAGCGATAGAATTTGAAACAAAAGCATTTGGACCTGACCATGTTAATATTGCGATAACGTACAGCTATTTGGGTTCGGTTTACAATAATATGATACACTACGAAAAAGCAAAAGATTTTTATGAACGAGCGATGAAAACTGAGACAAAAACATTTGGAACTGACCATGTTAATATTGCGATAACGTACAGCTATCTGGGTTTGGTTTACAAAGATATGGGAGAGCACAAAAAAGCGAAAGATTTTTATGAACGAGCGATGAAAATTGAAACAAAAACTTTTGGACTTTACCTTTTAAATATTGCAACAACGTACAACAATGTGTGTTTGGCTAAGATATTGAGAGTACGAAAAGCAAAAGATTTTTATGAACGATAGACAGAAATTCAAATAAAAGCATTTGGACCTAACCATGTTAATTTTACGAAAACATACAACAATCTGGTTTCGGTTTACAATAATATGGGAGAGTACGAAAAAGCAAAATTTTTATGTACGAGCGATAGAAATTCAAAAAAGCAATTGGACCATGTTAATACTGCGGTAACGTACATTACCCTTGGTTCGGTTTACAATATCATGGGAGGGTATGAAAAAGCAAAAGATTTTTATGAACGAGCGATAGAAATTCAAACAAAACATTTGGACCTGACCATTTTAATACTGCGGCAACGTACAATACCCTGGGTTCGGTTTACGATAATATGGGAGAGTATAAAAAACAAAAGACTTTTATGAACGACCGATAGAAATTCGAACAAAAGCATTTGGACATGACCATGTTAATATTGCAAAAACTTACAACAATCTGGTTTCGGTTTACAATAATATGGGATAGTACGGAAAAAAAATTTTTATAAACGAGCGATAGAATTTCAAACAAAAGCATTTGGACCTGACCATGTTAATATTGCGATAACGTACAGCTATCTGGGTTCGGTTTCCAATAATATGGGACAGTACGAAAAAGCAAAAGATTTTTATGAACGAGCGATGAAAACTGAAAAAAAACATTTGGACCTGACCATGTTAATATTGCGACAACGTACATCAATCAGGGTTTGGTTTACAGTAACATGGGAGAGTATGAAAAAGCAAAAGATTTTTATGAACGAGCGATAGAAATTCAAACAAAAGCATTTGGACCCGGCCATGTTAATATTGCGATAACGTACAGCTATCTCGGTTTGGTTTACAAAGATATTGGAGAGTACGAAAAAGCAAAAGATTTTAATGAACGAGCGATAAAATTGAAACAAAACTTTTGACCTTACCTTTCAAATATTGCCACAACGTACTACAATCTGGGTTTGGTTTACAATATTATGGGAGAGTACGAAAAGCAAAAGATTTTATGAACGAGCGATAGAAATTCAAACAAAAGCATTTGGACCTAACCATGCTAATATTGCGTTAAAGTACAACGAATCTGGGTTTGGTTTACAAAGACATGGGAGAGTACGAAAAAGCAAAAAGTTTTATGAACAAGCGATTGAAAGTCAAACAAAAGCAAGTGGACCTAAACATGTTAATATTGCGATAACGTACAACAATCTAAGTGTGGCTTACTATGATATGGGAGAGTAAGAAAAAGCAAAAGATTTTTATGAACGAGTGATAGAAATTAAAACAAAGGCATTTGGACTTGACCATGTTAGTATTGCGACAACGTACAACAATGTGGGTTTTGTTTACAAAGTTATGGGATAGTACCAAAAAGCAAAAGATTTTTATGAACGAATGATAGAAATACAAACAAAAGCAATTAGAGCTGACCATGTTAATACTGCCGCATTACCCTTGATTCAGTTTACAATAACATGGGAGAATACGAAAAACAAAAGATTTTTATGAACGAGCGATAGAAATTCAAACAAAAGCATTTGCACCTGACCATGTTAATACTACGGCAACGTACAATACCCTGGGTTCGGTTTACGATAATATGGGAGAGTATAAAAGCAAAAGATTTTATGAACGACCGATAAAATTCGAACAAAAGCATTTGGACATGACCATGTTAATATTGCAAAAACTTACAACAATCTGGTTTGGATTTACAATAATATGGGATAGTACGGATAAAAAATTTTTATAAACGAGCGATAGAATTTCAAACAAAAG